AAAAAAAAAAAAAAAAAAAATTAGCCTGGCTTGGTGGTGTGCACCTGTAGTCCCAGCTACTTGGGAGACTGAGGCACAAGGATCACCTGGGCCCAGAAGTTCAGGGCTGCGGTGAGCTATCATCACTCCAGTCTGGCAAGAGAGACCCTGATGCAAAAAGAACTACATCAGCGAGCCAGGCTAGGAAGGGTAGCCTGGACAGGGTGGCAGTCTGTGCAGAAGCCCAGAGGCTTTGGGGTGTTTGAGACCTGTAGTCTGCAGGAGTTTCCTGGAGGCAGAGAGATATGGGGCGAGGGTGAGGGGCCGAGTGGGAGATGCTCCAGCTGGGCAGTCAGCTGGACCTGGGTTCGAGTTCTGACTCTGTGGTGGTGAGCAAGTCCTCTCCCCTTGGCTAAGCCTCAGTTGCCTGATCATAAAGTGGGACTGACAAACAGTCACCAGCCCAGCTGCTCTGAGACTTGACTCTGTCTCTTGGGTTGGGGGGAGGGCACTGACTCTGTGGGTCCCCTCCCCCACAGAAGGAGTGTTTCTACCAGAAGCAGTGCCGGCTGCCTGAGCCCTCGTGTCCGGAGCTGGCCACACTCACCAGCCAGTGCCTGACCTACGAGCCTACACAGCGACCGTCATTCCGCACCATCCTACGTGACCTCACTCAGCTGCAACCCCAGAGTGAGTCTCATCCCCAGAGCTGGGAAGGGGGGTGGGGCTGGGATCCTGCCCATGCGCCCACAGGGGCCCAAGGTCTTTGGAAGTCAGCTCAGGGCATATGCTGACTTTTTTTTTTCCTCTCTTGAAAAGTCAAGGTTTCGGTTGCCCAGGGTGGAATGCAGTAGCACCATTATGGCACACTGCAGCCTCGACCTCTTGGGCTTAGGCAATCCTCCCTCCTCAACCTCCTGAGTAGCTGGGGACGTGTGCCACCACGCCTGGCTCATTTTTTTTTTTTTGAAGACGGGGGTCTTGCTATGTTGCCTAGGCTGGTTTGGAACTCCTGGCCTCAAGTGATCTCCGCGCCTCAACCTCCCAAAGTGCTGGGGTTACAGGCATGAGCCACTGCGCACGGCCAACAGGTGCCAGTTTCTGACTCACTCAAGGACACCTGTCTGCCCTCTGCTCTCAACGTCTTGCTTGAGGAGAGGCGCAATGTTTTTGCATAAATTAGACCATCACAGTTTTTTCTTCTCTTTGTGAAGTGTCTGTGTTTTCTACCCAATCCCAGAACATCCAGGTGTCAGTTTCCATGCGACTGGCTCTGCACATGTTGAACAGGAAGTAGAATCTTTCAGCTGTTGCCAAAACAGTTGTCTTTCTTTTTTTTCCCAATTTCAAAACTGTACTTACTTACTTACTAAAGATGACTAAAGTCAGCTGGGCTCGGTGGCTCAGCCTGTCATCCCGCGCCTTTGGGAGGCTGAGGTGAGTGGATTGCCTGAGCCCCTGGGTTGGAGACCCGCCTGGGCAGCGAGACCTCATCTCTACAATAAATCAAAAAATCAGCCGGGCATGGTAGCATGCCTGTAATTCCGGCTACTCGGAAGGTGGAGGCGGAAGGATCGCCGGAGCCCAGCAGGTCGAGGCTGCGGTGGCCGGGAGCGGCCACTGCACTCCAGTCTGGGCGACAGAGTGAGACTCCAACTCAAAAAAAAAAAAAAAAAAAAGATGACTAAAGTCAAGTGAAGAAAAGGTTCTATTTTCTGATAAAACATGCTAAGCACTTGCTTTTCCTTTTAGCCAATTACTTAGCGTGCTTTCATCTATTTTGGTAGTAAAACATTACATATGTACATCACGCATACTGACCCACAGGTCGATTTAATAGCGCTATAAGATTTTCTTGTTGCCAGTTTCAAAACATCTCCTCCCACGCACACACGTTTTCTTATCTCTGGGAGCAGCACGCGGCTCACTTTGTGACCCCCAGAGTGCGGCCTGCTGGGGCAAGGGCCCGAGGGCCTCACGCACGGCGGTTCTTCCAGATCTTGCTCACGTCCTGACTTTGAACACGGACTCACCGGCCTCGGACCCCACGGTTTTCCACAAGCGCTATTTGAAAAAGATCCGGGATCTGGGCGAGGTTAGGGAACGGCTTGGGTTGCCCGAAGGCCCACCTGGTAGGGGAGGAATTTGGGGATTGAGGAAAGGGTGAGTCTCCGGAGACGTGGGTGGGACCGGGCCCAGGACACCCTCTGCTTTGAGGGAGGCCCCGGGGAATTGGAGGGGTCCTAGGCCTCAGGGAGACCCATCTCTCGGATTAGGTAGGGCCTAGAGTTTTCCAAACGGATGCGCCTGGGGGCGTGGCCCGGGGCGGGAGGAGGCGGGGTTGCCACTTCTGCGTGCCCGGGCCAGGGTCACTTCGGCAAAGTCAGCTTGTATTGCTACGACCCGACCAACGACGGCACTGGCGAGATGGTGGCGGTGAAAGCGCTCAAGACCGGCTGCGGCCCACAGCTGCGCACCGGCTGGAGACGCGAGATAGACATCCTGCGCACGCTCCACCACGAGCACATCGTCAAGTACAAGGGCTGCTGCGAGGACCCAGGTGGGTGGGCGGGGCTGGGGCGCAGGTGTGGCCTGCGGGTGGGGCCTCTCAACCCCCGGCTGGGGCGTGGTTTAGGCGCCTGGACGAGCGCGCCGAGCCGCCCCCTTTCCGCCCGGCGTTAGCTGCTGCGGCCAGGCTGGGTGGAGGCCATCCGTGGTTCCCTCGTGCGGGGGTGGGGTTCGGGATGGCTCCAGCCCACCTGAGGACTGGGCCTAGGGTGTGCGGGTCTTGGCCTCCTGGGACGGGGGTCTCTGCAGGGCTAGAGGCGGGCGTCCCCGGCTCCCCCTCTGCCTCTTCCACGGGCCGCCCCTCTCCGCGGCAGGCGAGAAGTCGGTGCAACTTGTCATGGAGTACGTGCCCCAGGGCAGCCTCCGAGACTACCTGCCCCGGCACGGCGTCGGGCTGGCCCAGCTGCTGCTCTTCGCTCAGCAGATCTGCGAGGTGGGTCCGCCTCCTTGTCAGCCTGGCCTGAGGGTTCCATCTACCGGCTTCCCCGCCCCGCCCCTGCTCACCGGGCCAGCCCTCTTGTTCCTTGCACTGACCTCCCTCCTCCGTTCTTCCGGCCCCTCCCCGCCGGCTCGGCCCCCAGCTTCCTAAGTGCCCGTGTTCCCAGACCCTCCGCCCACTTGGTCCAGCAGTCCCGGCCCCTCCCCCCTGCCCTCCCCCAGCCCAGCATTGCTCGCCCGGCCCCGCCCCTGCCTTCTGGCTCTGCCCCCTTTTGCTTGGGCCCACGGCCATCCTGCCCTCTCCAGAGGCCAGGTCCTCGCAGGGCTCACCGTACTGCCCCCGGCCCTCTTGGCTGCTCAGGCCTGCCGCCGCAGCCGGCCCCCCGCTGGTCCTGACGCGCCCTGCTCCGTCCCCAGGGCATGGCCTACCTGCACACGCAGCACTAC